TACTCTAACCCTGCTCCGTGGAGGCAGGACAGCATTACTCACTGCAGAGAGCAGGGAAAGGCGCTCTGGTTATGGTTATTTCTCTGCTCACTGACTGCACACTACTGCCCTGCTGTGAGATATTTTCCCACATGCTGCGTAGGCAAATATGCTTCTAGGCTCAAAAAGAATACATCTGGGCTACAATGAAGTGGTTTTTGATATTGGATTGCCAAGGAGCATCCCAATTGATTATCTAACACAAGGTAAAGCTGTTTTGCCTTGGGGATACTTGTGGGCATACCTGCACACACCTGAATGTGTGGGTATCACCTCTATAATACTCCATTCCTCCAGCAAGTCCTTCCAAAACAACATGCCTTCTTTTCCAATATCCTTTGGGTAGCCAGATACAACCAGCATGGTCCTGAAGTAACCACCACCCTCACCCTCTCGGACAGAAACAGTCTCTCAAGTCCCCAAATGTATACCTATATATTCATATCTATACATGCATAGATATACATAGACACGTATTTTAGAAAAGCATGATTTACTTTAATGTCCAAAGGAGGAATATCCTTTTTGATACTCAGAGGGTGCAGTAAAATATTCATTTGCAAAATGGCACCTAAGTTGTTCCCACATCTAGCTGTTACTGCTCCTCATGCCTAAAATGCACCAACTTGACCACTCAAACTCATCTCCTCTGTTGCTATGCTCTGTTTCACATTCTAACACAGGCCAAGCGCTACAAGGATTTTACAAGATCTAGCAAGACATACCAGGATTAGTAGGGATCATTTTTTTCCCCAAGAGTTGAAGAGAAAATAGAGACGAGAATCAAACAATAAGGCTTAGCCCCATCTGTCCCAGTTTTATTCCTGTTCCCTCTCCCAAGCCATTATAGATCAAGAGCACCTTCCAGATGCCACTTTCATGATTTGGCTGAAAGTCTGCAAGCATCTCCAGAAGCATCTTTCATGAACAAGGTAACAGCTACTACTTACGTACTTATCTCTTTCTGCAGAGCCATTCAGATACATCTGAAAACTGCAAAGCACCCACTGAGGCTTCCACTAAGACAGCTGTCAGTTATGTTTCTCTACCCCTCAGGTTAATAAAAGAATTACAAGGAGATAATAATTTCAATTAGCTTCTAAAGCTTTAGCTTTGTCCACACTGCGGGCTCCGAGTTAATTTAATTTGTCCCCAGATAGCCGATGCAATTTTATTATCTTTTTCTTGCAGTCTCCCTTTATTTTACTTTGATAACGTTTTCCCTTGGGGAATCCAGGAGAAGTCTTTTTTTTGTTGTTGTTCTTAAAAGGTAAATAGTTTCGTCTGCTTCAGCTCATTCTGTCCCAGCAGTTTACTACATGCTAACATGTTGACAAACCATAAATGCAGCACTAGAGAAGTCTTTCCTTCCAAGTCCTTGGAGTCTCAGACAGAGCAAAGGTGACGGCAGATAGGAAGACTCAGGTTAGAATGTTTTTACCATTCAAGTACCACTACAAACTCCATCCCGGGAGCAATTTAGACTCTTATCCACTAGTTTATTGGGAAACTCCACAGATAGCATTAAAATATAGCAAAGTTTATTTAGTGTCATCCATAGCCATCAGTATTTCAATGTCCTAATTAGAGGCATTGGATAGGGAAGCAAATATAGCAAATAGAGCTGTCTGTGTTGCTGACTTACTCGGCCACCTGCAAATAAGCAGGGCTGTAAGCCCACCTCCCCCTGTCCCGGCTTTATCGCTTTTTCTGCACAGTTCTTGAAGAGGAATCCCTCAATTTTAATGTAACAGCTGCAGATTTGCACAGGAATACAGAGGGACAGGGAGTAGCTTTGCTCCACTGGCTAATCCCTGCAGAGAAGTCTCTTCCTACCAACAGGAGGCTGCAAATAGAAGAGATGTCAAGGTTGCCCAATACACGTTGACATGTAGGCTGCAGGAAAGGAGCTCAACTGTTTGAAGAGCAATGCTGTGATCACACAAAATGAATCAATGATCATACAAAAGAGACTGGGATCCCTAGGTGCTTTAACTACCTTTGGATCGCTATTCCGTCCAGCTGAGGAAAGCAAAACATTCTGAACTGGCCAGCAGGAGGGCGGATCTGTCAGCTCAGCCTCACTCAGACTAAGCAAACCCTCAGCAATCCCCAGAAAGCTGCAGCCTGCACCGAGCAGCCCATGAGCAGCCCGCACGTCCGTCTGCTGCACAGACAGCCTGCAAGACTTACTGAACGCGTGCCGTGGAGCTCATCCCAACACACGCAGCAACCATTTGCCTGGGACTCCTGAGCTGCTCCTGCTGAGAGAAAATTGCCAGATATCTTCAAAATACTTCCAGACAAGTCTTCAGGCTGAAGGGAAAAAAAAAGAGCCTGTAAGAACCTGGCTATAGGAATCCCTCCTCTGAGGCGAGAAGTTCACATGGCTTTCAAAGCTTGCAATGACTTTGCATCATTGCTAAAGTCATGAGACAGTCTCCGATAGGGAACAAGGATTTTTAAGCAAACAACAAAACTTACAGGTAGACGGGCTACGTGCTGTCTCTGGGTCAGAAGGTAAAGCAGGACAACGTTGCCTGTGTGAGCAAATGAGAAGCTAAGACTTGAGCAGCCGGGAAGAACTAGACGAAAAGCAGAGCTCAGCACCTTGCGGCTCCAGCAGGAGGGCAGTGCTGCAATAAGAGGTGGGACGTTACACGCAACTGAGGCACAAAAGTACAGAAAGTGAGGGACAAGCAAAGAGTGGCACCACTAAGTTAAACTTCAGAAGCTCGGTCTACTAAAATTTATGTAAAAGTTACTTATCACAAACACGGCTAGTCAATTATATTTCAACAATAGGTTTATTTTAAGAAACATAACATGACATTAAGTAAAAATGCAAAATTGTGCAATTATGGCAAAATGTTTAAAAATCCACACATTTGCCCTCATAGGACTACAGTACTTCTTACTAACATACCTGAGCACTGAATGTTGGATGCCTTTTCTAAACAGCCTTACGAACAGGGAGTTCTTCGCTTGTAGAACATACATACGCCGCATGTTTTGTGCACCAAGATTGCTTGTCGTTATTTTGAGTTCTACTAATTGAATCAAGTGGAAATTTCAAAATATTTCCTTCTAAAATAGTAACCAGTAATTTTGGAGAAGACACACTGATGTAAATCCTTACAACGCTAAAAATTCATTTAATAAAGTGAAATAAATGAATGCAGGAAAACACTAAGCGGGCAAAACGTACAGATCTCTGCTTAAATATCATCAGTACCTTTGGTGCAGGGTGGGTTTTTTTCTTTTTGTGCTGTGCAAGTTTACTTAAGTCTGACTCTAAAGCAAAATCTTACCAGGAATCTGACTTTCAGCAAAACATAAAAGCATTTAAGAATTGGCAAAATGTCACAGCTACATTACTGTCTCACTCTTCATGCAAAAGATTCAGTATATTCTACTCCCACAGCAATTTCCAGGATTTAGCTTTTAAACACATTACAGACTTGGATCATACCCTCGGTTTGAATGGTTAAACAGAATGCAGATCTTCGTACTTTAGTGCAGATAAACAAAATTAACAAACCTACTGCAGAATTAACCACAGCATATTGTACTTCTATACATCACATGACCAGTCAATTGCTAATTCAATTCTATTTCATAGTTTCAAGTAATATATTGAAATTTGTTCTACTAAATAAATATAGAAGATTGTCAAAAAGCAGCAAGAAGTCATGTAAATACTCAACCAAGCTTGGAAAAAAAAAAAACAAACAAAACGAAAACAAGAATAAAAGTTACGTAACACTTTGCAAAAAAAATGGTTTACACACAAATGCAACACTGTTAGGGAGGGTGCTTCAGAAAGCTTGCAGCTAGAGGCCTACAACAGCACAAAGACAGCTAGCCAAGGACTAAGGAGAATTTAAAAAAACAGTTGTACTCAAAAAACAAAAAAACTCATGCTCTTACTCTTGGCTATGGATATATATATATAAGATATCCAGAAGAAAACTAAACAAAGAAACAGCACACACTCAACACTGTTGTAAAATGCAGTCTTAGCCAATGCTGGCAACTCCAACTTTACTTCTGGAAGAAAAAAAAAAAAAAAAAAGGAGGAGGGGGGAAAAAAGCAAGCACTCGCGTTTCAAAAAAAAGCTGTTTGGTGAAACTCTGGAAGATGAGGTATGTAATGCAAAGAGGCATTTTTTTTCCATTTCATTTCACAGTTTTTTGTTTGTTTTTGCCATTTTAACGTTTTGTGCATGAATTAAGAAATAGAACCAGGTGAGCATTCATTTAAATAAGAAAAACTCCATTTGGGAGCAGTAAAACCATATAGTAAGTGAACATTATCCAAATTCTCAATCATGCCAGGGGGATAGACATTGGTGAGCTAAGTATTTGGCTTATTGAAATAGCGTATTTTTAAAACCAGATCATGGTAAGCACTTACAGGCAATGATGGCCACTGCCATTTCCAGTTAACTGTTTTACTTCAGTGAATTTGAAGAAATATAGCAGGGTAAGGTAACATACTCTTTGCTCAGAAAGAATTGTCTGCAACAAACTAACCAATGCAAATTGTAGCTGGTAAGAATTCTAGGATTAATCTTTTCCCTTTTCTATGCAGCTTTCATTATTGAAGTAGAGGTTAAATTTTGAACTTAAGTCTTAAAAATAAGCTAAATGTTTAATACATAGAGAAAAGTGTTGCAATGTATTGGATCCTTGTTCTGTATTTGCATCTAAGCTTATCTAAGCTGTGGACGCTTACTGTCAACCTTGCTTTAACATACCGGATTATGAAGACAGCTCAGTAGTGCAAATTTTCACATTATAGATTAGAATGAAAGAAAACATATTTGAGGGCTTGATTACAGGGAGAAAAGCATAGACAAGTTAAACCACACTTTTCAGAGTTACTGGAGCACACAACCATCACTGCACGCAGCACTGTGCTCTAGTGGATATTGAATGAACACTCCACAAACTATCATTAAGGCTACATCCTGTCATCATTCTGTGCAACAATCTACCACCGCAGTAAAAATGCTAAAAAAGACAATACGATGACAGGACAGGGCCTGAAGACAGACAGACACTCCGTGGAAAGTAGCAGGCATAAGGCTAGCCCATTTCAGACAAACAAGTATTAAAAATGTACTAGCACCATCAACTTTTGGATTAAAGCCCTTTACGGGATGACAGATGTTTTGAGCAGTGTAGAGAAAAAAAAATGCTTTTAAAGCACTACATCTAAGTGGCAGAAAATAGGTGTTGGGATTTTTTTTGTGTTGTTTTTAAAATAATTAATCTCAATTTTAACAAAAATCCATACAGGAAGTGGTACAGTAATCTACACAGGCCTCTTTCTGGGATACTCCACATTCCAATTCGTACTTGCGTATTTCTCCCAAACTGTAGTGCACAAACAAGATCAGGTACATCTTAGCAGATTTCAAAAACAGTACAAAAAAAGATCATTAAGAATCAGGATCTCTCAATCCTCTATGTACTTTCAAATAATCTAAACTAAAAGATTTAGTGATATTGCCTCAAATTTTACCCGTATTAAAAAAAAAAATAAGAAAAGAGAAAAAAGGAGAGAAAAAAGTCACTTCAAAACAGCTTGGACGTCCTTAGCTATTAATGCTAGATTTTCTTTCCCTGTAGTGCATAGTTATCCTGGCTCCTCCACTTAATTTGTTCTTACCACAAAAACATTGCTCTAGTATGACATGATTAAGTGTTTACCAGAAAAAAAATGCTGATAATTGCACTTTGTAACCTCCTTCTCATTTCCCAGGAAAATACCAGTAAATATGAAACTGAATCAGTAATTCCCTCCCAGACTGCAACCTTTGAAGAGCACCCATCCCCATATACAAAAAACTGTCTGTTTCAGCTTACAATAAATACTGACAGAATTTCTTTGTTTTCTTTTAAGACATGTTTTCTCTAGCATCATATTACCACTGAAATCACTAAGGCTTGTTACTGAAAAAAAAAATAAACAAGTTAAATAACTTTCTGAAGACACTGTGGATACAATTTAGCAACAACACATTCAAAATGCCGGCCCAAATCCCAGAGTCTATCTGGAGTCTCATACACTTTTTGCCACTGGTCAGTAACCTCATCGTACTGATAGAGCGAATTCTTCCTGCTGGTTCTGAAAACATGTTCTTCAACAGTGACTTGAGTAGCTCTGACAAACAGATGGAGTTTATTTTTGAGGAGGACAAGTTTTATATACGGATTAATGGATTGGTCACATGGGAAGTCTTTTTTTCGAGTCCATTTATTTTGCTCAATGTCATAGGCCTCTATGGTAAACATACGTTGATGGTTTCCACAGGTTCCAGCTATGTAGTAGATGGAGTCATTGTATACAGTTGCCAAGCCTTGGATCCTAGGCACAGTCATTGGGGTCAAAAACCCCCAGTAATCTTTCTGAGGATCATAGCAGAGAAAAAATTCCCCTGAAAAGAGAGGAAAAAGGAAACAACTTATGTATCATTTCTAGAAAATGAGTTTTGCTGCTACTGAGCTTCCATACATCTTTTCCAAACACGCAGACCCAGTCTTCAAATGCCTTACCCCATAACAAAACCACTACCATGATCATGCATCCGGTGCATAAAAATACTAATAGCCTACATAAAACCTACTTTGAGTTTATATCCAGGCTGCAAAAGAGAAAGTTTGAAAGATATGAGAAATATTATGTTTTTTATATATTTCTTAGCTGTTCTTTACTACTACTCAATCTCCTTGAGAATCTGGAACAAAAGCTTTCAAGACTCCAAACTTTAACTGTCAGGAAGTATTTGTTAGGTTCATTGGTTTCTTCACAAAATGTGTCACCTACAGACAAGGGGGAAAAGTTGTGGAATTAAAAAAGTTTGTTAAATGTGAGCAATTAACTGTCTTACGTTACACACAGATTTTGTAACCATTTGTATCATGTTGCTGGATTAATCATTTAGTTTGATTTGTTTAAAAGGATGCCACGTGATTCTTTGTGGGAATCTACTGATTCATCAGTACTTTTGTGATTGGATAATAAGACACCTCTCCTACTGACTGCACAAAGGAATGTCTAGAGTCTAGATAACAGAAGTTCAGTCCATTGAAAGCTCATACTCTGCAAACTTGGTAAAAGGGACACCAAAAAATCATGTTATCTTTGGTAAAGCCTAGGGGGAAAAAACAAACAAACAAACAAAAACCTAACATTTGCCAAAAATAAGCAGAGTTCAAATTATTTATGATTTCACATTTAAGAATTTTGATCTGCGATGTGAACAAACACCTCAAGTTTGATAAAAATAAATAATAATAATAATGAAATAATACAGCAAAATAGGTGCAAATAGCTTAATAGACTAAGTCTTACAAATAACACATCTTATTACTTTTCACTTTTGGTCCACAGCATAATCTCCCATGATTGATTCTTGCTTCTTAGTTAGTATTTTAAACCCAAGTCAGTCCTTATCAACTACTTCAAATTTAAAAGCTCTCTCCAGGAAAATGGAAAGCTAACTTTTTATAAAGTACTTCGGTGCAAATCAATTAAGGTTTTACCATCAGACTCAGAGAAGTCACTTTGTGTCACAATGCAAATCATTATGATTTGCTGGTTAGCAGAGTGCATCAGCTTCCTTATTTTTGAAAGCACTGAGTTGATTTTAAGAACATGCAAGCACAGAATTAAGTGTAGCTAAAAATCTGTAAACAAGAAGTGTTCTTATTTTACAGTTTCCACCTGTTACAATACTTCTATTAAAAAAATCCATTTTTAGCAGTTCTAAAGAATGTTTATGGATTAAAATGTATTCTAACTAAATATTCCTCAGCATTCCTTTTTAGTGATATAAAGCAGACCTCTGACCCAACAGAAACACACAGATACAGAAAACTTGCTCATATAGCAGAATTATTTAGAGCCACAGGAGTGAAACCTAATATAGAAACACTGAAAGAAGAAAACACCATCTCTACAGATCATGTGGAAACCACTGACCTCATGGAGTGGCAAAAATGCAGAGCCAGGAAGTCAGGTTGACTTCTTCTGGTAAGTAATAATGAATTTACAGTATACTCTATGCTGTTTTTGTCCTGTGGTCCCAGCTGGTGTATAGAAAGCAATTCAAAAAGGGCCTGCTATGAACATAAGATCCTGACTTTTGCAAATGTTTACACAGAGTTGGAACTAAGTAAATCAAAAACCAAAGAAATAAGAATTCAAAAACAATGCCCCCACACATTTCTTTCTACCTCTTGGGACTCTTACTCCAGCCCTACAGATACCATCACTTAAGTGTAGACTGCTGTATGGCGTATATATACCCACCCACAAAGACTACCAACAAGAGAAGAATGAAGTATTCTTTTCAGAGCCCCGGAATGTGTAATTTCTAGCTTAGAGCAACTGCAGGTATCTTTTCCATCACACCATTTTCATAGGCATGAATAGCAAGATCTTACTAATATACCCTTGTCAGCACACATGTTTTAATCATTGTATTTTACTCTGATTCAGTGGTTTTCTAATGGCACAGCAATGGATCTATCAGGGTCGGTACTAAAATTGTACCTAACCCACTCATTTAAGAATTAAGATTCAACACACCAATAAATCTGGTCATTTACAGAAATAAAAGACGGAACAGCAGTACTGTAACTATTGACCCAAGACACTGAGCTAATTAGAAAGAGATAAAGCAGTTTTCTTGGCTACCTAGAATGTTTCTAATAGCAGGGGAAGAAATGGAAGGGCCCCAATGGTTAACTGATTTTTACAAGGTATCAAAGACAGATGGCAGGAATTTTCACAGATTTAGCTAAATACGAAGTGCTTCATAGGATATTTTTTTTCCCCTCAACATTAGTGTATATCACCTTAGATAAAGAAAGTTATTACGGAATTTTCATTCTAATTATCAAAATACCAGAACTGTAATTAATGCAATAATTCAAGACTACAACTTGGTAACATCCCCAGAGCATGAGAAGTCAAGCAACAGCCTCACTCTTCTTCACCCACTGCCTTCACCCGTTCCTCCCACTTCATTATCCCATAGCACTTCGCTCTCCAGGAAAAGTGGCTTTTTTTAAGGTGCACAGACAGTCGGATTAGGTGCTCCCCACTTCCAGTATAACACCAAATAGAGTCAAACCACCTTACCCTGTAAAACATAGATGTTATCCTTATATTCCACAGCACTGTGAAACTCCATTGCTACTGGCATTGGACACACAGCTGTCCAACAGTTCTCTCGGCTGTCATAGCACTCCACAGACTTGAGGGAGTTTCGCCCATCTCCTTCATACACACGACCACCTATTGCATACAGTTTACCACAGCAATGAACCAATTTGCAGCCTATTCTAGCTCGCAGCAAAGGAGCTTTTGGAATCCACCTATTGCTAGAGTGATCGTACATCCAAAAATCACTCTCTGCTCTGTGGTCAATGGAGACCTCACTGCTGCTTGGCCTGTAACCACCCGCAATGTAAATATCATTATCAGGAGATACAAGAATTCCAACCTCCCTCAAGTCATTTGGTGGCTTGCATAGTTTAAACACTCTCCCTGTGACCGAATCTAAACAAGGCACTGTTTGCTTCTTTCCTGAGTGTTTGTGGGCAGCATCAAAGCATATGATCATTTCAGAAGCAGTCATTCCAAGCCGTTGAGTATAGCCATTGGCACTACGTTGGCCCTTTTGTACACAGCTTTTGGCCATTGCCTGTGCAAACATGGGTGGGATTTTCTCTAAAAATGTCTCTTCCAACAGAGGCATACGGATGCATTTGGCAAATATTTCTGGAAGGTGCACTTCTCTCTTATTTTGTTCATGCTCAAACCACCTTACAATGCTGTCATAAACATGCTCTTCTTTGTCTACGTTTAAGTCATCACTGTTGAGTATACTTATGAGTTGGTCTTTTCGCAGCTGAAGAAACTCTTGCTCTTTGGTGACACTCAGGAACTTTTTACGAATGTAGTCTTGGGACCTTTCTTTGAGCTCCTGATGACCATAGTGATCAGCAAAGATAAACACCCCAATGGAGTTCTGTGGGTCCAAATGACTGATCATATATTTAGCACACTGGTCTTGTATGGAAGGAATCTGGAAGATACTAGCTGCAGTGAACAAAGCTTGAACGTTGGCCTCTGTCAGCATTACCCTGGAGGTATATGCATAGTTCAATACTAAATGCATTGACTCTGCTTCAACACCAACTATACGAACTTCTTTCTGGGTACTCTCCGTAAGGCCGCTAGTGAACATGGATCTGCAAAAGAAAAAAAAATGGCAGTTTATTTTTAATCACTTTCTAGCTATAGGTAAAAGAAATAAAAACTATACTGTACAGCTAATCCCAATGTGCCTGCCCTTAACACCACCACAAATACAACTGCCACTGATGGTACACTGTCCTGCTTGGATACCTAAATTTAAAAGCAGTTCTAGACTTCCTAAAGCAAATAAAATAAAATAAATAAAGGAACTGGACTGGAATAAAAATTAATATAAACAAAACCCTTAACATAGCAAGTCAACATCCAACATGCTATTCCTTAAATATATTCTAATATCCTAGAACATACAATATTAAAAGGAAACAAAGAGTTGAATTATGCTGTTACTGTATGCAGGTTTCTTCCATACTGGAAGAATTTTTGTTTTTTAAAATACATGAGATTTTGGTCAGAGAAAGGTCCCTTTGAAAAACACCACCAACAAAAAAAACAGACAATGATAATTCAGTGGCATTAAAAGCAGAGAAATATTTACTAAGCCTGCTATATGGTCATTGAGAGTTGCATGGAATATTAGTAGAGATGTGGACTACATTTTCATTACACATTCATTAGAGGATGCATTCATTATACCTGAAATAAGGACTGATTGCAGCAAGAACATTCCTATGACAGGAGAATGTTTTCCCATGATCCACTTCCACCACAATATCCGTCAGCTGTCCCTCATCGTACATGGTTTTAAGCTGTTGAAGAATACTGCAAGCATGGAAAGGGTCCATTCCACTGCTGACTGGGTTTGATGACGGAATCCCGTTCAGCGTTTGTGAAAACTTACTTGGTTCTATGAAGTAAAATGGAAACAGTTTTATTGTGTACACACACAGAGGGCATGCACTAAAAAGAATTAGCAGAGGCTAATATTCCTTACTTCCTCAGTGCCTCATCATCCATCAACAACAAGTCTAGAACTTGCAGTGATGACTAAAGACAAAGATACTTCATTCTTCCCCCTTTCCCAAACTACTATGCAAATTAATATATATGATTATACCTATTATTTTCAAGAAAAAAAAAGTAATTATTTCATATTTATTATATATTGCTTGAAAAAATAACACAAGTATCACAGTGGTTACTGTTTTGTAAAAAGGGAATAAAACGTGTAAAACAAAAAAAACTCCCAGTCTAGATCACCATGACACATGTCTCTCTGTATGTACTATCTTTATGCTGAAACAGGAACTGGCTACTAACTTGCACAGACTATTGGTAATAGTACAGTCATAAAGAAACAGCCCCCGTATTCCACAATAAGTATGCAGGCAACAAATCCATTAGATAAATTCTCATAATTTTGTATACATGACTCTGTTTTTCTTCACAAATAAAATGCGTTTACACTCTAAAATTACTCAGGTGTGAAGGAACTCACATATTGTTGTGAAAACAAATGAAGTAAAGCATATGTGCCTAAAGAGCACACGATATGCTTAATCGAGTAAAGCCCAGAGTGAAAATTGAGCAATATCTCAAGCACAAAAAACTGTTTCGTAATAGTAACAAGATTTTTGCGCAACAACAACAAAGGAGACCTCAAAAGAAAAACATTAGGTGGCAAGAGCTGCAAATCAGGTAATGCTGCTGACTGCAACAGAGATGCCTCCAACATGTTTAGGGCTAAACAAAGGCTAAGAGAGGACAGTGAACAAGGACGATGAATAGGAGATTTAAATCCTAATCCATACTGATATATGGCAGCTACAATTTCTCTTACTCAGAATTCAGTCCCAATTAAATCAGTATGGTTCTGCCAAGGTGCACACATTTCTGATGGTAGGCAAGGGGCCAAATCCTGGCAATGTCTCCTCAAACTACTGATAGGAAAAGTCTCGAGAATGCCTTTCCCCAAATAAAATAAAATAGTAAATATTATGCTTGGAAGTATAATCTGTGAGAGGAGAGCTTTATCACAGTAACTAAGCTCCCACATTCAAAATGAGTAAGTCAGGGAAGGGCGGAATCACATTTTCAGGAGCAATGTTAAGCACTACTGAGTAAACTCCAAGCAAATAACTTTGCTAGATCAATTCCAATCCTTCCTAAGAAAGTTCTGACTTACAAGAAGGCTCTTAGGTATCCGGTACTGCATGAGCCTTTCATTTACTTTCTATCATTTCTGAAATGCTTCTGAAGATTTCCCCAACTCTGCCAGTTTCTCAACCAGCAGATGCAATCAAGTCAGGTTCCAGCACTGGTGGAACTGGCCAGGAAGGGATACTCGTTCCCATGCCCCAGGATTTCTGCCTAAGCCACAGTACCACTCATATTGCAGTTTTTCACCCTGTGAAACCTTCCCAGGCACTTTCGCTGCCTTTCTTTTATCTCCCCATGCACATCTTTGTCATCTATTAACATTCCTCGCCATTTGCACCTCAAAACTTTTGTTTCTCCCAGACATTCACCCATCCTTGGCAAAATACTGCCCCCATGCATCCTCGAGAACCCTCCTTTCTTCCTCTCCTCTCCACAAACTCACCCTCACAGAAGCCTTTCCTGGGGAACAACCCAGTCCTTCCTCTCTGCTTAGCTACTCCCAAACACATGCAGTGCAGGGGGTGCCCCTACAAATAACCCTTCTCCCCCAAACTACCCCCACGAGCCCTGCACCCCTCAACACCTCCTCGTGGCCCCCACCAGCGAAATAGCTCAGAGCCCAAGACCTTTCAACACAGACACCCCTCCCATGGGTCCTCCCCACAGACACCCCTCAGCACAGAGGTCCCCAGCACACCTCCCCATGCCCCCCTCAGCACACCTCCCCACTGACCCCCCCACCAGACACCCCTCCCCACGGCCCC